GTTATTCTTATATGCATGCATATACGTCCTTCGGTTGATCTCTTAATCCCCCCCCAATCCCTCCCCAGGCTTCCCACTGTAGTTTGACAGTCTTTTCAATGTTGCTCTGCCTCTGCATCTACCCCTGTTCATCAGTCTATACTGGTCCCCATTATCTGTCCCAACCTCACTGGAGCAGTCCCAACCTCACCGGGGCCGTCTCGACCTCACCGGGGCCGCTTCAACCTCACCCCAAGGACTTTGTCCCGCTTCACTGGAGGGGGCTGGGGAGCCACAGAGGGCTGATGGGGGCAGGTCAAGCGCCAGTGCGGGAGGAGCTGTGGGCGCAGGAGGAGCTGTGGGAGCAGGAGGAGCTGTGGGCGCAGGAGAAGCTGTGGGTCCGGGAGGAGCTGTGGGCGCGGGAGGAGCTGTGGGCACAGGAGGAGCTGTGGGAGCAGGAGGAGCTGTGGGAGCAGGAGGAGCTGTGGGCGCAGGAGGAGCTGTGGGCGCAGGAGGAGCTGTGGGCGCAGGAGGAGCTGTGGCCTGAGCAGTGAGGGGCCACGCTGCTTTCTCCAGCGCGTCTGCCAGACGCAGGTTACAGGTCGGGAGGTGCGCAGAGGCCTGGGCTGGACTTACCGTCATAGGGGCAGAAACCAATGGTGGCTGCAGCTTCCCCAGCTCTGGCCACAGGGACGAGCTGCGGCTCCCAAAGGGTCTTTGCAGATGTAATCGAGTTAAAGTGAGGCCCTGACAGGTGTCCCTCTAAGGCAGTGGTTCTCAACCTTCCTAATGCCGTGACCCTTTAATACAGTCCCTCATGTTGTGGTGACCCCCAACCATAAAATTATTTTCGTTGCTACTTCATAACTGTAATTTTGCTACTGTTATGAATCGTCATGTAAATATCTGATATGCAGGATGTCTTTTCATTGTTACAAATTGAACATAATGAAAGCATAGTGATTAATCACAAAAACAATATGTAATTATATATGTGCTTTCTGATGGTCGCGACCCATAGGTTGAGAACTGCTGCTAAGGAGGAGAGAGAGTCAGGGATGGGCACACACGGAGAATGACGCCGCCTGGTGATGGAAGAGGGAGCCCACACACACTGTGAATGAGACTCAATAGCTATTGTCTTGAGCCACTGAGTTTTAGGGTAATTTGTCACGAAGCAATAAATGACACTATGTAGTAGCTACTGCGCAAAGCCCTGTTCTACAGCGTGGCGTGCATGCGGAATGTATGGGAACACGTTTAATCCTTAAAGCAACTCCCAGAGGAACAGACTGTGCTCCCCCTAATTTTATGGACAAGGAAACAAAGGCACAGAGAGGTGCAGCAACTGGCCCAAAGTCACACAGCTCCGCAAATGGTGAGGTTGGGGTTTGCACCCAGCCTGTCCAACTCCAGGGTGGCTTTGGCCAGCTGTGGGTGAACATCCCGATCCTTTACCGGAAGAAGGCGGAATCTCCACGAAGCCTCAGAGATCCTCAACATATGGGGGTGAAACAGGGAGAGCAGATTGGGGTGCAGAACCCGAGCGCAGAGCAGAGACTATGAGTCTGGGACAGTGACGGCGAACCTTTTGAGCTCGGCGTGTCAGCATTTTGAAAAACCCTAACTTAACTCTGGTGCCGTGTCACACACAGAAATTTTTTGATATTTGCAACCATAGTAAAACAAAGATTTATATTTTTGATATTTATTTTATATATTTAAATGCCATTTAACAAAGAAAAATCAACCAAAAAAAGGAGTTCTCGTGTCACCTCTGACACACGTGTCATAGGTTCACGAACACTGGTCTGGGATGTGGGGCGGGGGTGGAGGTCCCCTTGCTCCTGGGCCCAGCTTACGGGCACCTGGGTTCCAATCCCAGCTTTGCCTGCCACTCAGCTGTATTCCTTCAGTCAAGTTACTTAACCCTTCTGTGCCTCAGTTTCCCCATCTGCACAACGGGGCTGGGGATAATCATACCAGCACCTCCTGGGGTTGTGATGACGATGAAATGGATCAGTCCACGGGTTAACCCCGAGGGTGGCAAAGGCCCGGGGGAGCCGGCGGCTGGGGAACGTGCTGGGACCTGCTCCCCTGCGGTGCTGGGAGGTAATGGGCGGGTGGGGCTGTGGCACAGACGGTCGGCTGAGCTCAGCGTCTGGCTGTGTGGACATGGCCGGGTCGGGGTTTCGGGGCCACGCCATCGGACCTCTCCTGCTCCTGCTGCTGCTCCTGCCCCAGGCCCTGGGGGAAGGACCCCTGGTGTTCGTGGCTGTGGTGAGGTGCCCCCACCCCGGCCTGGCCCCTCCCCTCCCCTCCCCCA